AAAAAAAAAAAAAAAAAGATTTGCACAGTGAAGGAAACCATCAACCAAATGAAAAGGCAACTACTGAATGGAAAAAGATATTTGCAAATGATATATCCAATAAAGGGTTAATACCCAAAATACATAAAGAACTTATACAACTCAACACCAGAAAAGCAAATAATTTGATTAAAAAATGGGCAGAAGACCTGAAAAGACATTTTTCCAGAGAAGACATACAGATGGCCAACAGACCCATGAAAAGATGTTCAACGTCACTCATCATCAGGGAAATGCAAATCAAAACCACAATGAGATATCACCTCACACCTGTCAGAATGGCTAAAATCAAAAATACAAGAAATAACAAGTGTTGACAAGGATGTAGAGAAAAAGGAACCCCTGTGCACTATTGGCAGGAATGCAAATTGGTTCAGCCACTATGGAAAACAGTATGAAGGTTCCTCAAGAAAGTAAAAATAGAAATACCATATGATCCACTAATTCCACTACTGGGTATTTACCCAAAGAAAATGAAAACACTAATTCAAAAAGATATACGCACCCTGATGTTTATTGCAGCATTATTTACAATGGCCAAGGGATGGAAACAATCTAAGTGTCCACTGAAGGATGAATGAATAAAGAAGATATGAAATATTTAGAAATCATTTTTTATTACGTTATGTTAGTCATGGTACAGTACTTCATTAGTTTTTGATGTAGTGTTCCACGATTCATTATTTGCGTGTAACACCCAGTGCTCATTGCAATACGTGCCCTCCTTAATACCCATCACCGGGCTAACCCATCCCCCCACTCCCTCCCCTCTAGAACCCTCAGTTTGTTTCCCAGAGTCCATAGAAATCATTTTTAACAGAGGTCCTCCCACCACCCCCCACAAAGGCAAGAGTTGGGGGAAATATTGACAGAACGTGAACCAGACAAACATCAAGAGACCTGTATGTATAAGTTTATCTATAAAGCTGCAGTGAAATGTAATTTCCTATGCATTTGAGGATGAAGCCATGGGCAAACAATATTATTCTCTCCAAACATAGCTCTTTCTATAGTCTGTGGGTTCACAGCTTAGAATTGCCAATGATTCAAAACTCAGAAGGTGGTTCCCCACCTGAGACCCTACCTTATCCAGACCTTACCCTACCCTCCTATTCCCTAAGGAAAAGGCAAGAGGAAAGAAGTCTAACAAGACCGAGCATGAGGAACAGGAAACTCTGTAGTAAGAGTAATGGTACTATCCAGGCTAAAAGGAAAAAGGGCAAGTCAGCAAACTAACCTACCTATTCCCCACTATTCTCTCCTCTATCATAGCCCCTCCAATCATTCCCAACGCCTCCTTCCATGGAGTGAACCAGAAGAGGTATTTCATCAAACGGAACAATAACAATTTCTTTATCTTCATCCTTATTTTGGTTTCAGGAAACATATGTACTTACTTTTATTCCCTAAAAGAGTAACCTACCTATACAGCCAAGAAATTCTAACCTTAAATTATATATATGATTCCATTTTATAGTAAGTAAAAAAAAAATGAAGAAAGTAATTTTATATTATGATATTAGCTGATTTTTTTTTAAAGTAGAAGAGAAACTTATGAAAACAACCTAACAGAATCTCTAAGCTCATTTTATAGGAGGCATCCATGATAGAAATTAGGAACAGGTTTCTAGGTCTGAAAACAATATCCTGGTGGCTACTCTTAAAAGCAGCTCTTTCTTCAAGGTTAAGTTTAAAAAGAAGACAATGATGAAAAAAGCAGGCACCTTTGCTATGAACGTAAAACCACTCGAATAAATAAGGTCTATTAAAAAGAAAAAAAAAAAAGCAGGTACCAAATCAAGACAGTCCAGGAGAGGTGATCAATCACTGCCTCCCAACATTTCCCAGTTTCATCTGGATATTACTGTGTCTATCTAGCTAAACCAATTGCAAGTGTATTACGTTAGAAGTTAGAACTTTCATATATTGCCAAATGAATAAGCAGAGCAGCAACAATAAAAGGGAATACATATACTTTCCACCTGCCAGACTATATACACAGTCTGCCATTGCATTCTGGCAACTGAAAGCCATTTCAAGTATTCTCATGCACATAGGTATATGAAATTTATCACCAGCAATAAACTCTTGTTCTGGAATGTCTTAGAAGAAAGACAAAGTGGCCTTTCTACATTGGCACTAAGTGGAGACATACACAGTCAACAGAAAGCAGAGGGCTTACAAAGAAATAGAAAATACTCTCTGGAAACAATGAGAAAATAGGCAGAGGGAATGCAGAATGTCTCAACTATCCCTGACTCCCCCTCACCTCCCCAACTCTTTGAACCATCAGAACATGTGTTATCCTTTTTCCTTCTGAGTCAACACTGCCCCCAAATTAGAGGAACATTAAAAGAACCAGAACTCTGGTGTTGGGTGTGTGTGTTGGGGGGGTGCAGGGGTGGGGGCAGTAGTAATTTATATGACAACACATTAAAAAATCTTTGCTTTATTCTATTTTATTTTAGAAGCGTATCCATTTGCCAAGAAATAAGATGTTAAACCTTGAAGATCCTCAGAAGTGTCTAACAGAAGAACAAAGAGTCCCCAGTACACACAATGTACGTTCCTGTGTTAGAAAGATCACCTAATTTCTGACTAAGGGCACATCTGTGTTTTAGGAGACCAAGCGGAGTTACTAGCTTAAATTTTCCTACTATCTAAGATATGTAGATATTGATTTAAACTTGCTCAAACTATCCTCCCTTTCCCCTTGATTAAACCCTGCTCTGATGCCAAGGAAGGCTAAGACACGGACCAGACTCCAAACTGGGCACACAGGCCTGCACCCCTATGCATGAAGGATGGAAAAGCTAGAGTATGTGTTTAGTTAATGGAAATATATACACTAGTCACTTACCTGATTGGACTGATTGATTTATAAACCAAGAATGGTGTTTTTCCTTGAAAATTTTTATTTCAAACAGCTGCTGTAGACACATATTGAACAAGTAAATGGTTCCTTCTCCTGTTAAGACAAATCTGTTTTTTATTTTTAAGTTTTCACACACACACACACACACACACACACACACACACACACACACACAATCAAAAGACTGTCCAACAGTTCTGAGGAATGTTCCTAATATGGACATAAACATACATAGATATATTCTATACAAACTGACTCCCAGGAAAGTTTATAGCTATTACATACAGATGCTTGTTTTCCAGCTCTATAATCCTCACTGAACTTAAACCAATAAATAAAAAAAAGTGCGAATCATTCATCTTAACTGCTACAAAGGCTCTCACTGAATCCTCCATTAGATCGCAAGGGGAAACCCATTCTTAAACTACCCAAACCTAATGCTTCAGTCAGATGAACTGAGCTGGCATGTGGCTGCCTGTCACCAGAGGGCCCAAGAGAGGGACGGGGCCTACAGACCCCGAGGGCCAGCTCTAAAGTGAGAAAGGCAAGGGCCCTTTCAGGAATGAAATGTTTTTCTAACCACAGCACTATCAAGCACCCTGAGTTTGAATCTCTGTGTACCACATGCTGTGCATGTGCCCTCAGGGAACTTATGTAAACCTTTCTGTGCCTCTGTTTCCATATCTGTAAAATGGGAGCAATAGGGAACCTACCTCACAGGTTTTTGTAAGGATCAGAAAGGCAGAACACATGTAAAGACCCTAAAACAGTACTCGGTTCATAGTAAATGCTCAGCAAATGTTAGCCTTTATTTTTCCACAGTCAATGTGGTAAATGCAAGCATTTGTTCCTCTGTTGTTTATGGACATTTAGATAAAACAGAAATTGTACAAGAAGCCTGACTTTTTTGTGTACCTTAACTTTCATTAAATGCTTTACAACCTTTACTGCTACCTAAGACTTCTCTTGAAAAAATGTGCTTGCCTCAACTTAGTCTTAACGTATAACTCAGAAGTTCCAGATAATATGAATTTTCAATTCAAATTCAATTCCATTTTGAGGAAAAGGAAACTGGAAGAAGCCAGGAATTTTTGCCTTTTTTTGTGGCTTCTATTTATGTTTGTCCATCAACAATGATAACAAGGCACTACCCATTGACTTTCCCTTGTTTTTACTCTTCAATATTGTACCCAACAGCACAAGGCTCTAATTTGCTAAGTATCAAATGTCTACTCAAAACCTTATAAAATTAATAACAACCCTATAACATAAATCTTGTGAAATAAATTAACAAAAAAATAATCTCACATAGAGATAAATATCAGTATTACTATGTATTTATGGTATATTTTAGTATTTTTGCCTAACAATTAGAAAACAAAATGCACTGAATATAAAGTTATAACGAAATTAGTTGCAATAAAATATGTATCTCTGTATAAAATGCTTTTAATATAAAAAAATCACCTCTTGACTAGGAACAAATATACTGTCTTTTCAGAACAAAATAAGGAAAGTACCACTAAAAATGAAAACACTCAAAATCTTGGCATGTCAAGTAAAAACTTTGTTTTTTCTCTTTTACTCTGGCTGTTTATTTTACTTTACAACATAAAATGAATATAAGTGGACACTAATGTTGAATAACTACTCTAAGAAGAGTTGGCTTAAGAAAGCTAAAGAAAATTAGTCTGTTTTCAGAGAGAAGCCAAACACACCACTTTCTGTCTTGCATGCATTTCTGATGAGTGAACAGTTCTATGGATTTAAATTAGAAGAAGAAATAAACAATGTTTAGGTCAAGGTTGCTTTTGTCACCCAGTAATGACTTCTTACCTTTAAAAGCTATTAAGGAAGAACAAACGTACAAAGGTAAATAAGTATATACACTTTTTGGCAGCAATGTTTAAAAAAAATTAAAGTTACTGTTATGGGAAGAGAAGGGGGGAGGAAAGCTTACCTGAACATGGGTTAACCAATTTTACAAACATAAGCCCACTTTTCATCTTCTTTGAAGCATCTTTTAAATATTCTGGAAAGAAACGATAAGTTTGTAAAATTAAAAGACATTTGCTTTGTTGCTTACCTTATTTACTTTATTCTGTTCTTTTTGTCCTTCTGTTTATATGATTTTTCTTTGTAAATTCTCTGACTCCAATTTGGTTGTACCCTCTGCGTCATACTTAAAAAGGTCTTCTCTTCCTCAAGCCTATGTGAATCACCTATATTTTCTCCAAAGAACGTTGTATCTTTAATCTATCTAAAATATAGTTGGATGTAAGATATGGAGAGGAGATCCAACTTTTTTTTCAATAAATTGTCCAGTTGTACCAACACTATCTTCTGAATAACCCATGATTGACATAATTCCTTTATGCTAAATGTTTAAACTACGTTTATAAGTCTGCCTATGGAAATTCTAATTTGGTCTACTAATCTGTGTCTATATTAGCAATACTACTTCAATATTTTGATTATTATAGCTTTAAAATACATTTTAATATCTATTGAAGTAATTTCTCTCATTGTTTCCTCTACAGTATTTTACTGTCAAAGTTTTAATGGTATAGATCAAAACTCAAAGACCATGACCATTTTATTTATAACATCTTCCATACATTTTGAATGCATATTCATAGAACTCATTTAGAGACTCTCTCTCCAAAAGGAACAAAGGGGCTCTCTTAATCTAGCAGAGCAACTACCAAAGAGCAAATCAGAGAGCTCTGGGGTAAGGGGTGGCACTTTATTGTTTTTATTTTCTGCGTACCCCCTACCTTCAACCTTCAGATCTTCATAAACTTAAATACAGCAAGCATGATTAGAAATCACCTTACTCATAAATGGTTAAAATACAACTTTCTTCTTAAAATAAGAGGAATATTAAATATATAAAAGAAAAAATAAACCCTAATTTTGAGATTTCTACTTGTAACTAAATGGAGTAACAAGAACTCTATTTATCCTCCTACCTAAAACCACCAAACCAACAACAACAAAACATATGAAACAATCACGGTCAAGACACTGGGCGTTGAGCCATGTGGGACAGTGATCCCTGCAAGATGGGCAACAGTTGAGGTGAACCCTATGAGACAGTTTCCATCTGCAGTGCAGGATGGAAAGCCCCAGGGGAAGGCTGGCTGACTCCCTGCGTTGAAGACGTGGAGCTAAGTGTTCCAGAGGCACCAGGGCTATGGTTCACCGGGTGGCATACAGGAAAGAGAGAACTACAAAGAAAGGAAACCCCAGAGATGTGCAAAGGATACTGCTTGAGTATCCAACCAAGTACTGATCAGTACGTGCAGATGATGAAACTACCTGAGGGCCAGGAGGATAGAGGGGAGAGTACCTCACGTTCACGCAGGGCTCGGAACTCCAGACAGACTGGAAAGCCTTTCAATTCAGAGGACTCAAAAGGGGGCCTTGCCTCATCCGCAGGGAACAAAGAGCCCTAGCCTGAATGCTGCTGTGGTACCAACAAATAATTGTATTTATTTTTATTTATTTATTTATTTATTTTTAAAGATTTTATTTATTTATTTGACACAGAGAGAGAGACAGCGAGAGAGGGAACACAAGCAGGGGGCGTGGGAGAGGGAGAAGCAGGCTTCCTGCTGAGCAGGGAGCCCGATGCGGGGCTCGATCCCAGGACCCTGGGATCATGACCCAAGCTGAAGGCAGACGCTTAACCGACTGAGCCACCCAGGCGCCCCCCAACAAATAATTTTAAAAAGCAAGACCTAAAAGGATCAAACTGTTTCTGAGTACCTTCACTGTGCCCCAGAATGAAGCTCAAGATTATTTGTAGGAATACAAAACTATTCATCGGCCAAAAAAGGTAAAATTCACAATGTCTGGCATCTAATCGAATATTACTGGGCATTCAAAGAAGCAGAAAAATTGGCCCATAATGAGAAAAATGAAGAACCCAATTACTGAGAGAGGGGTCCTGATATTAGACACAGATGTTAGAATGAACAGGCAGGGGCATAAGAACAGTATTCCTCATGCACAAAAAATTAAGTAGAGACATAGAAGTTTTCTTAAAAGACCCAAATTGAAATGAAAAATACACTGGATGGGAATAATGGTGGAAGAAAAGATTAATGAACTGAAGACATAGCAATAGAAGCGATATGAAATGAAAACAGAGAAAAAAGAATGAAAAATAAATAGACATTAGCGACCTATGGGATAACTTCAAGAATCCTAATAATACATGTGTCACTGGAGTTCTGAAAGAGATGATGTGGGAATGGAAAAAATATCTGAAGAAATTATGGCTACATATTTTCAAATCTGATGAAAACAATAAGCCTACACATCCAAGAAGTTCAATAAAGCCAAAATACAGGAAATAGGAATAAACTATACATCATAATCAATAGTTCAAAGCCAGTAATAAAGAGCAGATCTTAAAAGCAGACAGAGTTAAGGAAGACACATTATGTACAGAGGAACAAAACTAAAAATGACAGCAAATTTCTTCATTGGAAACAATGCAAGCCAGAACACATCTGTAAAGTACTGAAAGAAAACATGATGATCCCAAAGAAATTACCCTTGAAAAAATGAAGGTGATAAATACACTTTTTCAGACATGCAGGAGCGGAGAGCAGTAACCACCAACAGACCCACACTGCCAGGAGAGCAGTAACCACCAACAGACCCACACTACCAGGAGAGCAGTAACCACCAACAGACCCACACTGCCAGGAATGCTAAAGGAAGTCCTGGCGGAAGGAATAGGGTACCAGATGAAAGTATGAATCTAAACAAAGAAATGAGGAGCACTGGTAATGGTGACTACAGCAGTAAATCAATAAGAATTTTTTTCTACTACTTAAATCTCTTTAAAAATCACTGACTAAACAAAAATAACAAGTTAGTGTGGGGTTTACAACATACATATAAACAAAATATACGACAACGACAGCATGAAGTCCAGGACGGGGGAAAGGAAAGCATACTACCGTATGTTTCATCCTACTGTGAGTTTCTTCTGCCGTATGTGGAATGCCTGAAGTAGATGGGATCAATATACGTGTGCAATAAACCCCGAAGTGACCACTAAAATTAACAAAAAATGCTGTCACTAATAAGACAACATAGGAGATGAAATAGAACCATAAAAAAATACTCAATCCAAAAAAAAAAAAAGGCAGAAGGGGAATAAAAGAAGTTACAAAGAACAGATGAGACCAATAGAAAAACAGCAAGATGACACACTCAAACCTAACCCTATCGATAATCACACGCAATGTAAATGTGCACCCTAATTCAGAGGCAGAAATTTTCAGATCGGTTAAAAAAGTAAAGTAATACTACACGCTGCCTATAGAAACACACTTGAAAGATGCACGTAGATTAAAAGGAAGGAAGAAGATATATCACCCTGTTCATGCTAACACTAATTAAAAGAAAGATGGAATGGCTCTGTTAATAAGATTTTTCTTTATCCATTCAGCTTCCTACATCTTGGCTACTGTAAATGATGCTGCAATAAACATAGGGGTGCATATATCTTCTCAAATTAGTGTTTTCCTTTCTTTGAGTAAATACCCTTTAGTGGAGTTACTGGATCATATGGTAATTCTAGTTTTAATTTTTTTGAGGAGCCTCCATACTGTTTTCCATATGATTTCACTTGCATTTGGAATTTAAGAAACAAAACAGATGAATAAAGAAAAAAGAAACAAACAAGAAAACAGACTCTTAACTATAGGGAACTGGTGGTTGCTAGAGGGGAGGGTGGGTGGGGGATGGGTGAAACAGGTGAAGGGGATTAAGAGTACACGCATCATGATGAACACTGAGTAACGTGTGGGATTGTGGAATCATTGTATTGTACACCTGAAACTAATATATGTATGTTAATTATACCGGAATTTAAAAAATAAGTAAAAAAAAATTTTTTTAAAAAGGTCATGTGATTTCATAATGATAAAAGGATCAAGAGGAAATAATCCTCAATGCTTACGCTCACAAACACAGAGCTTCAGGATGCACTAGGTAAAAGCTCAGAGAACACTCTGCCCCATTTCCAACCCCTGGAAACCGCTAATCTGTTCTCCATCTCTATAGTTTTGTGATTTTGAGAATGTTATATAAATGGAACCATACAGATTTAATTTTAAGAATCTTTTAAGACTTTCCTCTCTGCAACTTATAAAAATGTGAAGGATAAAGTTTAGCACTGTTAAAAACTTTTCCACAAAACGAAAACAGGCTGTGGTTTTCCCTCCTTCACCCCGCCGTTTCTCACTCTTCCAGCATCACTGTCTCCATTGTGTCACGGGACAGAAAAGGGGACCTCTCTCTTTAGCAATGCACCGTGATTTCACTTCAGTACTGTAGTAAGCCTTTCGACTTTAACTTGGTGAATCATTATGGATGTTTTGTTTCCTTTTTTTCAACAGAAAGTTCTGGTTCTAGTGATTCTTGACAGCTCTCCTTCGGCCTTCCCATTCTTCCAGCGCTTAAAATAATTAAAATTTATAAACACCAAAAGTCTAATATATATATTTTTAACAACTATACAAGGGAAGCAGTGTTTCCATTTCTCTCAGGAAGAGCACTAAATCCAGAGGATTAGCTATAACCTAAAGTGTCAAACTGTAAGAACTTTGGAATTACTAAGTACAAATAAATACTGACATTAATGTGTTCTGCTGCAAATGCAGGGTTCTCTGAAATATACCTTGAGATGTATTAGTGTAGATAATGCTGAAATGTCTATGTAGTAGGTGAAAAAAGTCCTCTTTTCTCAGTTGTGTCAATAAAATAACCTGCTGTTGGACTGAATCTTTCAACACAGAATTCCAAGTGAGATGCTATCCTCAGGTTGTTTTACCTCATTAACGATAGAATGGATTTTAAAATTAATCTCTCCTGCCTACTTCACTCATTCATTTATTAACTATTGATTAGCAAAGTGGACCCAACCGGTTCCCATGAGGAGCTTTTGGATATGACCTGGAAGAGACAGATATTGAGTCAAACAATCATACAAATGTAGACTCCAAATGT